GGCTGCTGACTGCGCTACTTCGCCTGTGCCCGCATGGGGCTCCCGAAACCCAACGCTGGGCCAGCGAGCCTTTTTCTGTTATGCTCGCATGTCAGTGGTTTGTTTCTGATGAGTGCCCGTGACTGCTCTGCGCAGAACCTTTCTGTTTCCTGCCTTTATTTAAGAATAAAGACCGGCCAGGATGCAAGCAGTAAGCTCCACCTGCCCTTGCTTAAAATACAATGATTAAATGTGAATCAGCCATTTGGGTTCCACAGAACACTATCTAAATGAGGAAGGGGGTCCCTTTCCCTCCTATTTATCCTCTCCTAGAAACTTGACCCATGCTATCCATGAGTTAATCAAATACTTATTATTGGCATCTCCCCACATCCCATTTGGCACCAAGTGAAGGATGTAGTGAGAAGTAAAATCTTATAAGTTATTCAAGACTCAGATTGAAAAACAAGGTGACTATTTGTTCATCAAGAGCAGAAAACTGAAGTGGCTACAGGGGGCAGGTGGGCAATGTGAATGAATGAGTGAAGGGATGAGGCTGTTTCATAATAGCGTCTTACAGTTGTTTTCTTTCTTTCATTTATTTTTTGTCCCAGATACATTTTCTTTTGGTTTTAATGCACGGGGATATTCTTCCCTTCACAAAATCACAGCCTTGCTGGTCTATCCGTAGTTTTCACATTTCTGATGGAGACAAGGGTGTGTTCTTCATTCCTCTATGAGACAACAATAGGGTAAAACATCGGTTCAAATGGCAACCAATGCAGGGTTCACGCTGAGACACTTAGAAGCACTACAAGGAAGGGGTGGGGACTCTGTCCAGTCAGAGAGCTTGCAGGTGTTCACAAGGGAACAGTTGCTTACTAACAGCCATGTTGCCCTATTGCTGAGTGAAAATGAGAGCCCAGAATATATCCTTAAATTTTTCTAAAACACACCACTCTTCTCCAAACATGTTGTGAGTATGTTGCCATTTCTGTCTCTTAGATTTCTTTTGGTTTGTTTTGTTCTCCCATTTCTCCCAAATGGATGGGAGGCTCCTCACTGCAAGCTGAGGATTTTCCCTCTTTTGTGCACTGAGCTTTTTGCACATGGCTGCTGGGCAACGCTTACTCTGTGCCATCACTGGGCTCACCAAGGGCAGGGAGAACAGCCTCCTGCGGTCGGCTCAAAGGTAGGTAGAGCCATGTGCCAATGCATGAGTTTTGATTATCAGGGAGAGCAGAAGGGTCTCCAAAGTGACATCCAGGCATCATTCAGGTAATCTGGGAAAGGTCTCTGCAGTAGATGGCAAAATGGCCAGAACTACCTTCTTTCCTTGTGTGCTGGCCTCTTTGCCATTCCTCCCATCAAAAAGTCTATTTTTCCACTCCTTGATTCTGAGTTTGACTATGAAAGTTGTTTTGACCATTGAGATATTAGCAACTATGATACAGGTAGTGATTTGAAGAACAATGGCACATCGGGGCTTACCAATGCCTGCTGCACTGGATCCCTAACTTGTTTCTAACCAATAGAGTAAAATGGAAGTGAGGGTGTGTGACTTCAGAGACAAGGACGTAAAAGGTACCGTGACTTTCTTCTCTCTCTTGGCCTGCTTTCTGTGGGGGAGGCTGCTGCCATGACTGGATTGTGCGCATGCAGCCTATTGACAGGTTCACATTGCGAGGAACTGAGGCCCCTGCCCACAACCATGCAAGTGAGCCAGATTTGAAGAGGATTCTCCAGCCCCAGTCAAGCCTTCGGATGACTGCGGCCCTGACCTACATACTGACTGCAACTACATGAGTCCCTGAGCCAGAGGCATGCAGCTGAGCTGCTTCTGGGTTTCTGAACTAAAGATACTGTGAAATAATTAACATTTACTGTTTTAAGACACTCATTTTTGGTGTGATTTGCTATATAGCAAGAGATAACTAATACAGCTGATTCTGTGGTTGCCTCTCTTTCTTGCCCATCTAGCTTCATGTTCACACAAGGACTAAGCATGCCCTTTTTATGTATATCAAGACCTCCAATTGAGACACGTTGTAGGCATGACAAAGCCTTTGCACATACTACCAGAAGTCTCCTTAAAATCAGCATTGGTTCTCTACACAGCATTCTTAGGTATAGTCCTTTCCCAGCCCATAATCCACCTTGCTATAAGAGAGAGAGAACACCAGACATTGACAGGAAGACTTGAATGGAACCTTGATGAACTACATAAAAATCCAGGAGGTGCAGAGGGATGGCAGGTGGGAGCATATTCAATGCATACAGACAAGTTGCTATGTATAGTCAGCTTCAAGGGTCAATGTAGATAACTAGAAGGCAAGCTTTTGAAGGGGAGGACTGTATTTGTCTTATTCACTGCCTGCATGTACCAGGTCTGGTACATAAATGCTCAGTAACTTTTGTCAAGAACCAATAAAAAAATGGAATCTATAGAGATCAAAAGTAAGAGAAATTTCAATATGGAGGCTAGCTAGAGTAAAATACTTGGTTTGGCCAAAGTGTATGGTATATTTACATGATGAAGGGAGGGATGAAAAGATGGCAGGAAGGGAAGGATAAGACATGAGCCTGCAAAATTACACAGGAGTCTCCAGATCTTGAAAATCTTGACTACCAGTCCAGGGAGTTTGAAATGTATCTTGTAGGTCATGGGCACCATGGGAGGATTTTAAATGGGAGAGTGATGTACTCCGGTTTGCAATTTTGTAAGCTAACCAATGACAGAATGTCAGTGAATTGGGGACAGGGAGACTGGTTGGGAAGTTGTTACAGCAGTCTAAGATGGCAGAGTGGATACAGTGACAACAGTGGGCATGGGAGAGGCAGGGATCCATAATAGATCCTCAGGAACCTGAACGGACAAGGCCTGGCAGGACTGGAGTGTGATGGAGGACTGCAGTGAAGAAGAAAGCTAAATAAGCCTGCTCTTTCCTTCTCAGATAGTTGAAGTAATTTGATGTCATAGAGCTTTATGTGTGGGTGAGCTTTGGGTTAAAAGATTGGTTCTGATATTATAATTTGACATATCTATCAACCGCCCATGGAGAGGGGACTCAAAATAGCTATGTAGGCTGCTATGACAGAGAGAAGTGGTCCATGGACACAGTAGGTTGTGGTTTGAATGATTAAGTATAAACCTGAATGTCAACAGCATGAAGGGCAGTCAAGGACCTTCCTGTGGGAACTCCAGCTGAAAATAGCTCTCCGGGTGGGACAGGCGAGCCCATGTGCTCTAATGGGGTGGGGCTGCCATCCCTGTAAGCGGGCTCCGTGGGTCCCCAGATGGCCTTGGCCTATAGTTAGCTCCCATAATCAGCTGTGGCTGGTTTTCAAAGTAGCAGCAACGGCAGCTGACGGCTTTGAAGTTTGTTTTAGTCTTTGTAAAGAAAAAGTGCCCTGAACAATACATTTCCCAAGAAGCTACTCTTCCTGGTTTGACTGAGGGCTTCTATGGCAGAAAATATGCCAACAGTTTCCATAAGGCCATTGAAAAAAGCAATCACTTTTCTTATGGGTCGAAATATCTTGAGCCTCTTGGGAACCCTTAAGCAGAATCAAAGTCTAAGTTCTGCCCCTGGAAAATTTGCCTGCTTGTATGCTTTGGTTCATTAGGGAATCTTTTCCACTTCCTGCATATCCCAATAAAAATAAATGAGAATATAAGGATTCAAAGTCAGAGAAGGAATCTAACCCTAACAGATTAGACATCAATGCCTCCTTTTGGGGTTTCAAGTTGGAGTAGAAGAATTTAAGTGTGAGACTCTCAGATAAAAAATTCTTGCGTGTCAGAGTTCATCTGGTGGCAAATTTGCTTTCGTATGTGGTTAACTGGGAAAATAATGTGACTGCAGTAATTTTTATTTGTACATCGAGCTTTAGTTCCTGTACTTCATCCAAGAAAGCACTAGAGGGAGTAAGTCAGATGGAGGAAAAAGGTTACCACGAGAAGGAAAAGGAATGAGGAGAGGACGCCGGGGAGGAAGGTATTTCTATCTCCGCACTTCACTAAGGCACAGAATTTTACTGCGGCAGACATTAATCTTGATGCTATGACCAAGCGACTTTATGTCTGAAACCCAGTATTAAAAAACTTTAACTATGATCTGAGCCTGTGTAGAATCCAAAACAGTAAAAGAAAACCGTTATTGTCTGACCAGAACTTCAGGCATTTTGAGAGCCAACATGGTACAACTCTTATCTGTGAGTCTTTAATTTTAGAGGACACATTCTTAGGATGAACAAACTGTCGCACATAGTGGATTGTTTTTGCCTCTATAGCCCTGGTAGTCATACTTCCAGTGCACCCAGGGAATAATAATGATACTAGGCATTTTCAGACACTTGCAGGAATAAAAGTTGTGCTTTGCAGATAAACTAGATTGGAAACCTTCCCCTGTATATTTTCTCCATAGCTCTCATGAATTAGTTCTACATTAAAACACCATTTTACAATCCAGAAACACTGAAGTTAACTGGCCTGGTGTCAGGCACATGTCAGTGAGAACTGATATTTATTCTTTTTGTTTAAATTCCCAGTTGCTTGGTTCCTTTGCGCCTCTTGCAAAGGCCAAAAGAGCTAGTGAAGCCTAGAGTCAAATCACTTTTTTAAGAAAAATTCAACAATTAATCATGATAACCAGAAACAAATTATCTTTAAAACTTCTTAGGAGGTTATTCAACTGAATGTTAAAGTATTTTACTGAATAATGAATAATTCAACAAAATATTGTCCTTAAACCATAGCAGAGTTTTGAAGTATAACTGTTAAAAGCATGTGTGAATTCAGATGTAAAATAAGAAATCCCAATAAGCATACCAAGTTAATAAGGACTGCTCCTGTACAAACCATGAGGTCAGCCTCACCTGGACATTAATATCAAGAGAGCAGAAATACACGACCAACTTCCTAAGGCAGCGTCCGTCCAAACGATCAATTACACTGACAAGGAAACAGGCAGCTCCAAAATTTGGGTTTGTGTTCGTTAGTCATGCATGATACTACTTACCTTCCAGGGCAGACCTTTAATTTCAGAAGGTGCTGCGATGCATTACTGCCCCCGTTATCAAAAGTCTTTGGCAGAAATACCATTTATCCTTGTTGTGGTAACGAACAGATTTACAACATTCTGGTGTCACCATTCCTGAAAAAGCACATTCATTTGAATATTTCTTCCACAAACCTAGTGAAATATTTCATGAAGGCGCATGGGTGTAGAATACCATAGAGAGATATAGCTGGTGAATGACAGAGCGTCTGGCTGATTTAGATGAAACCCCAAGTGCTTGTATGAGAATAGGTTAGGTTTAGATTGACGAGCAAATGTGTAACCAGACTTCTGGCTGACAAATGGCAGAACTATGCCAGCGCATTAGTGTCTCTGGAAAGCGACCAAAAGTAAGGAGGGAGGATCAAGTTCATCCCATAAAGGACATTCAAACCTAATGGATGGCAGCGTGGCTGGGATAGGAAGCACATATAGATTTTAATATCCCAAAATAGTACTGGCCAAGTTTAGGGTTGAGCTGGCATCCAAGCCAATGACTGAACTCCTATCAGATTTTCCAGTATCGCGTGTGTTTATATTTACATCCCTTCAAAAGGGTCCTGGTGTTTGCAAGATAAGCCTGTTTTATTGCCAGCTTTGGTTTAAAGTCAGTAGCCTCTAAAAATGACTTGCGTGGATAAACTAGAAAGTAAAAATGAATGCTCATGAGATTAGTATTAAAAATGGTGCCAAGCATAAGTGGTGCAGATTGGATTTGATTAATTTGGGTTGGGCAGAGCTGAGGACGGAGACATCCATACAGCTTTTGGGAGGAAGGATGAAGTCTTTGGACCGCACTCTCCTTCCGAGGCTGAGGCAGAAAGCTCAGGGCTTTGAGTGGTAGGATAGCAACAATAAAGAGGGCTCATTGTGTTCTCACTGCATGCCAGCCCCCGCTCAGTGCTTGAGGGGCGTTATCTCATTTAATTCTTACCACCACACTGTGGAGGTGGGTTTAGGATCTTGCTTTACAGATGAGCCCAAAGTTTAGAGACATTAGCTGTATTGTCCGCGGTCACACACTAATGAATGCAGTTAGGATTTAAAGTCCAGTCTGACGCCAAAGCACTTTCTGTTATGTGCACTGCTTCTTGAATGTCTGGGGAGCAGTAGTAGTGAGGGCCTGGCAGTGTGCAAACACTGTGGTGTGTGAGGAGTATAGAAACAAGGGTAACTGACAGCCAGGAGACCTGGGTCTGAATCCCAACTCTACCATTTACTGGCTGTGTGATCTAAGAAAAATTCCTAACCTCTCTGTTATGTCTACTCATTTATAAAGAATGTGTGTCTTGCGTGTGATGGAATATTAGAAGATTTTTAAACTACCTTTCATTTCTAACCTTCTGTGATTCCATGAGCCTTCAAGAGGCTTTTAGTTCCCCATAGCTGAGGTGAATGTTTGGTCTTTTGCTGGCTAAGTGAGCTCAGATGTGAGGAAACAGTTCTATCTGAAATTCAAGAACCAAGAATTTCTGCCCTAGACATACTATTCCTTCTCCACGAATTCATTTCCTCGGTGGGTTGCCTCAACACTGCCGATCTTGATGACCCCACTGGGCGCTGCTTGGCGCTCTGCTCACAAGGGAGCTGTGGAGAGGCCTGGAGGACATGCTACAGATACAAAAGGATATTTTGTAACATCGGCACAGCAGAGAACCACTGAAGCTGGCTTTCATCTGAAGGCAGTAAATGCTACTTCCAGTGGGTTAGAGAAGCATGTATCTATGTCATTGCCTCTTTTGGGTGCTTTGTGGTATTTCTGTAAATTAATGGTTTTATTTATTGCATCCCCCCCTTATGGATTATTCAGTACGCTATGCCGTCAAGTTTTGTCTGGAGGCGGCCGTCTGCTCTCAGAGCGCGCCACCCCTCCCTTGTCTGGCTTGTACCCATTCCCCTGCTGACGGGAATGTGTGCAGTGGCTCCCCCGCCTGGGTGCTTCAGTGCCCGCTGCTGCAGCATTCTTGAGGATCAAATGACAGGCCAGGCTATATGTGGGGAGCAATGTTGGAAAATCCCTTTGATGTTGCTCCTTGTGACACCCAATGGCTAAATCCAAGCTTTTGCTATTTGATGAAATGCCAAATATGCTAGTTCCCGAATATCTATGATCTTACAGAGGGACGGACAGAAAAATAAGAATAGGCCCCTGGAAAAAAAATATTACAAAACTACTTTACAGGGCTCATTAAGGTAAAGCTTTGATAAACTGGGGAGTTAGGTGAGCAGAGTGTTCTAGTTAATTAGGAGTTAAGGCACAACACTTTAAAAAATTGACTTAGTGTATATGAGTGTCATTAACAATGCGAAGGGGCAAAAGTTCATATGGTCCTTTCCAGAGCTGCTTCTGATTTTCTTCTACCCATTTTTGTTGAAAATTTGTTTCCTTCTAGACCTTTTTAATGCTTATGTTTTTGTTACAAAGATGTGATCATACGGAATATGTGTTTTCAATCCATTTTTTATTCATTTAATATTGTAAGAATTTTAGCATCAACTAAGCTTAGAGTGGTGTGTTGAAACATTCCTTTATTTGCTTAAAATTTAGGTTGTTCCCACTTGTTTTCCATGAAAAAAAAAAGTTATAAAGAAAATCTTTACCCAAAAGGTTTTCCCTTACTGTTTTTTGTATTTCCTGTGACAAATTTTCTCCTATGTGGCATTATTGGATCAAAGGAGACAATTTGAAATATCCACTGTTACCAATCTATGTTGCAATTGCTTTCCAAAGGAGTTACCAATTTATATACTTTCACTACCATTGTTTATCTGTAAGTTTCTCCTGTCTCCATCATTATTTGGCTTTTGCTGATTTATTTACATGTTTTGCTCATTTAAGAGGCAAAATACTTTTGATTAAAAAAAAACAAATTAACTCCCATTATCTATTGAATTTACACACTAACCTTGTAAAGTGAACAGTTAACAGAGGACTAGATACTAGGAAAGATTAAATGACTTGCCCGGGTCGGTACAACTGTTATCAGAGCTAGAACTTGATTCTGTTTTTTCTAAGTCCATGTCTATTGTGTGATCCACTGGCCCACGGCTGCCCCTTGAATAAGCAGGGTAGGTGTAGGCCAGCGAGGCCACCACAATGAGCCGTGAGACACTCCAGGATGGTATGTACAAAGATGCAATTGATGAGCAGGACTTTTTTAAAAAACCAAACACTTCCTCAAACTGAATGATTTTTGTTTAATTTATACATGCTGTTTCACCCTCCCAAGGGCACACTAAAAAGACTAAAAAGAAGAAGCATGTGCTTTAATAGTGCCTGAGTGCCGAGTGTTTTAACTAAGCAGATATACATGAGTAACTCCAATGGAAGTCGTTCATGCATATCTGAAGCAGAATGTGGCCTTTTGACTTTACCCTGTTAAACACAAGGAAATTCACAGTTAAAAATCTACTCGTAGCTCTCCAGCCAACATGGGAATGACTCTGGCCCCAAAATATGATGGATGAGGCTGCCACGAGGCCTAGTCACCTGTTGGCATTGCAGAGGAGGCGAGGCAGGACCCCTGTGATCAAGGTCTCACCTTCACGTTTCAAAGGCCCGATGGATTAAAGTGTGTGCTTCATTCTTTACAGTAAGAAGTCTGGTTCTGCTGGAGCCTGGTGGGTGGAATAAATGACAAATGCCTCCCTGATTGGAGGGTGTTTGGGTGCCCCTGGGAATCATTTCAAAGGCTATCCTGGAAAACTGATCAGGGACCACGGGGCCTTCTTATTCTTCGGGGGAGTGAAGAGAAGGAAACCCCGGTTTGGAGGCCACAGTCGTGTAAAATGGCAGCGTCTGCCCGCTTTGGCCTCCCAGGTGTGGCTTGGGGCTGAGCAGGTTGTGCTTCCAGTCAACTGGAGGGCTTTGGGGCTTAGCAGGTCCCCTGTGAGCTGAGCAGGAGGCTGAATAATGGCATTTAGCCAAACAGAGGCGGGCTCACCTCACTTAGATTACAGGTTCCCATTAATCTCTAATTAGACCACTATTTATATTAAGAACAAAACAACAACAAATCACCCGTATTTATTTCACTTATTTCATGATAAGATTCAATGTGGGTAGAAAAAAGGATGCCTTGTTACTATCACCCAATGACTCCTGTTAGACAATTGCAGAGAAAGGCTGGCTTCTACAAGCCTTCAGATAATCTCTTCTAGAGACTTCTATGGGGAGATAGAGCTGCTTTGGTGCATCTCTCAGTGCTGCGAGGGTGATCTGCATTTGCCCTGCCTTTAAGGAGAGAAACCGGAGGCAGCAGGATGCACTTGCAGGGGTGCAGAGACGTGAATGTCTCTCCACGGTTCTCTATTTTGTAACCAGATTTTAATTTTAATCCTTGAGGATCCCTGAGAAAAAAAAAAAAAACAATCACAGAAAAGAGCTTGGAAGCAGATTGGTTTCAAAATTAAGTAATGACGTCTCCATTCCAGCCATGTGTTTTCTTAGCCTTGTGCCTGGAGGACCAGGCAATAAATATGCGTATCACCCAGAGCTCTGGGAGCTGGGCTCTGTCTTGCTGGCGCCATTCGAAAGAAGGCCCGCTGAGCTGAGCTTCAGGGACCATTTCCCCTCGTCCAGTCTAAATGGCTGTTCTATCTGAAGTGACTGGAGTCTTTCTGCCACCTCCAAACATAACACACTGTGATAGCAGTGGTGTGGGAGGCGCCTCCCTCGGGACGCTCTGGAATGCAGGTGATGCAAGCGACTCGGGCGCGGACGGGGCGCCGGGGAGGAGCCCGCCCTCATTTTGCCCTGTGTTGTTTTGGAAGGCTTTCTTTGGGGTTTTTACTGCTGGGTGGTCCCTTGGGCCTCCCACTACATTCCAGATATTTCCAAAACTTTCTGAGAGGTAGTGGTTCAACCAAAGGAGCATATTTTGTGGCTCAGGCAGGAAGGCTGGGAGGCACTGGCCGTCCCTCCGCGACAGCCCCGTGTCGTGCTTTTTCCCTTTTGGTTTCCTCTGAAGTCAGTTTGAACAGGATAGGATTGTGACGCTCAAGTTCTAAGACACCGGGTACAGGGGATTTTTTTTTTTTTGCAGCCCCTCAGGCTGCTTTAATGCTCAGTGGCCTCCAAGCTTCTTAGATGGTTCACCAGAATCAGTAAAAGATTTTAAGCTGACACTCCTAATACTTGTTACTTCTTTGTAAATAAATATGTGCTATTGAACTAATAGGTTATGTTAAAAACACACAGAGCAAGAAATCTAAAGACGAAA